AATGTAATGGATTCAACTGGAATTCATGTGCGACACCTTTGGAAAGTGCCTGAAAACCATACCGTGATCGAGGGTTTGAGTGACTGTTATTAAATGTAACAGTGGTCTGCTTAAAAGGTCATGAAAGAAAAGGTGTATGTTTTTAAATGTAGCAGAATGTATGGCCATCTAAAATCACCACAAATGTTGGATTTTGGCTCTGGGTATATTATGATGGCCGCATCATCAGAGAATGAACAAAATTCATTCATTCTGATTTTGGTTGATTCTCCATCTTGTTATATACATATCTAGAGATTAGCTTTGAATGTGCCACTTTGATTCTCATTGGATCACAATTAGTAACCTTGAATTCTGGTTTACAGAAGTTCTTTCTGATTTGGTTACTAGACTAGGATATTTTTATCTTGTTCAAGATAGATTGGTCAGAATATAACTTTATGGCTTGGCAATTCTGAATGTACATCTATTTTTAGAGATGGTGAAACTTTGGTCTCATTATTATTATTATTATTATTGTTTTTTTTGGGTTTTTTTTTTTCAGGTAAATTTGTTAAACTTTGCCAAATATTTTTCTTACTTCCCTGCCAAAAAAAAACAAACAGCTTTCTAAACTCTTGGTCTGAAATAATTATCTTTTTTTTCTCCTTCAGGGACACTACTTTGAAAGTAGTGATCAGGCCTTGCATGGATTTGCAAAATATTTCACTGACCAATCCTTAGAAGAAAAGAAACATGCAGATAAACTGATGACCTATTTGAACCAGCGTAACGTCCAAGTGAAGACTTTGTCAGAAGTAAGTTCAATATTTTTTCTCTTTTTGTTAGTATTTCCTTTCCTAACTTCCCCATAAAGAGCTGGATTGGAGGATCTTATCTTTGTGGCAGACGATTTGAGTTGATGTTTTATTGATTGATTGATTTTCTATGACTTAACCCATTGCAGGTTATTTAAAGCCAGAAAATATTTTTAGATTGTAAGAATTTTATTTTGAGATAATAATGGTTCAGTGGTGGAGTCATACCTAATCAGAATATGATAAACAAACAAATCATAATGTGCATATGAAGTGGGGGATCAATTCTATATTATAATTAATATATAAACGAATCCCTCACTTTGTAGTCGCAGTAGTTTCTATACATTTATATCCTGCAGAATGTGTGCATATATATATATATATATATATATATATATATATATATATATATTCATACAAAAAACAAATACAAAGGTTAATGATTTAATTGGCGAGAAATCCATCGTCGCGAACAGTTCAAATAATATACAAAACCCTGAACCTGTTTATGAATGAAAAGATCCTTGTTTCTAAAAATTCCTGTTGCATGAGTTCTTATTATTTTTACAAGCTTTTGTCTGTTCATACAGACATCCTCAGGTATGGAATAGATTTTGTTCTTGTTTTTTCTCTCAGTAATAAGAGGACAACGAAAATATATGTACTGTTGTAATCCGAAAAATGCTATTAGAAATGAATTATTGTTTTTGGAGCGTGCTGTTGCAACGCTGTGTTTGAATTTAAATTTTACAATTGTGCGTTCTTATATAAATATGGTGATAAGCGAATTCTTTTTTACTGGTAAATTTTTCTGTCAAAGTGGCATGAACTTTATTGTTCAATAATTACAGTAATGTTTGCACTTATTATCCAAAAGTTGCATTTGATCAGTTATTTTAATTTCAATAAAGGTGCAATTAATTTACAAATTCATGAATTATTCATACAAAAAACAAATACAAAGGTTAATGATTTAATTGGCGAGAAATCCATCGTCATGAACAATTCAAAATAATATACAAAACCCTGAACCTGTTTATGAATGAAAAGATCCTTGTTTCTAAAAATTCCTGTTGCATGAGTTCTTATTATTTTTACAAGTTTCGTTGTTCATACAGACATCCTCAGGTATGGAATAGATTTTGTTCTTGTTTTTTCTCTCAGTAATAATCTATTCCATACCTGAGGATGTCTGTATGAACAGACAAAAGATGCCAATCTGGGCTCATATGACAGACAAAAAAGAAATCAGAACTGATGATTTTTAAACTTCTAAATATTTTTTTTTTAACAAGACAATGTTTCAGTTGGTGATGCCTGCTTCATCAAGTTCTTTTGTCACAATTTCTTAAGTTGTATGTTCAGGTGTTCTGCTCCATCCATTTTGATTTTATCATCAGCTACGCTTGTTTATCAAACCATAGCATATCCAGTCCCAAGAATTTCGGATAAAGGATTCTCAACCTGTGTTATGGTAATTTACCCACACATACATGGACTCTCCCAGCTATAATTAGGAGCAGGTACTGCCTTTTGGGGAGGGAAGTTTCCAGCAGTCAGTTCTGACAGTCAGACCAAACATTCTTGCTGTAACACTCTCATTTGTATGTTTTGTATTACTGTTTTTCTGTTAATATATTTGTTTAACTCAGTTCCTCTATTGTGTCTTTATTTCTGGCCCTAACAAGGCCACAACAATATGAATTTTAAATTTTGTTTCATTAGAAAATGAATTATCAACTTGATGTTTTTGCTGACTTTGATTGTTAAATTTCTTTCTGTTTATTTTAGGTCCCTGAATTCTGTCCTAAACTGAAATTTAAGAAAGTGAGTATTGAGTTTTTCTTTCTTCTTTTTACTATTTTATGATGGAAGTTCATATTTGCTTATTATATTCATATCACAGGCTTTCCTTCACCTTCATTAATGCTATCTGCAACAGTAGCCCTTCTGTTGGCTTGTACTTGGAAAGAATGTCATCATTCACTTTTTACATTAGCCTCTCAATGCCTCCTTGGCACTGACTAATTCCCCCCCCCCATCTGCAAGTCAATTAGTACTCATCACAATTGAATCTAAAAATACCTAACAAGCCATGCTGTTTCAGAAAAGCTATGACCTTGTCTTCTGGCCATAATAACTTGACCTTCATCAAAGTCATTCATATTTTTCTTTTATTTAAATTCAACAATCAACACAAATACTTCAGGCCAGCTTATCTGCTCATATAACACTGACATGCAAAATTATTATGAGGCAGTAACTGTTATTCTTTCTGCATGCTGTTGGCCATAACATTTTCACTCATTTGTATGTGTTTGTATGATAGGCTTCTGAAAAGTTCTCGGCCCAACTCATTTTCCAAATTCTGACCAAATGACTAAAAAAAATTTGTGCTTTATTTTCTGAAGAGCTTTTTGTATAGGTGTATGGGGGTTGCTCCAAAAGCAATACCTCCTACATTATTCTATTGACCTACAACATCAGAGGTGAATGTTGGATATGGCAGATGAACTTTCTTGACAATAACTTTTACATTTTTTGTTTTGTTGTAGTTAGTACTCTTTGGTGCCTAACAGAATATGGGGAGGGGGCGTTTAATATTTTTCTGACAAAATCTTCCACGTCCCCTAGCACCCAAACTTATTAAAAATCATATATCAATTTTGCACATTTTGACTGTTAAGTGATTTTCTGAACTTTCAGTTTGTTGCATATTGAGAAAAATTCTGACCTCCTGGATTAATAATTAATACTGTAAATTTAATAAAATTATGAAGAAGAAAGAAAAAAAAAAAGCAGTAATAATTTGGGTGAACCACACCCAAAGGAAAAAAGAAAAGAAACATACAAGAATGTAACTCAACTTAAAGACAGAAAGACATGGAAATTTGGTAACAAAAAAAAACTCCTAGTTTAGAGCAGGAATCATCTATGTACCACATCCCATGAAGATGATGATTGTGGATGGCTCTCCACAATTTCCTGTCCTTTGTGTGTGTAACAATTTTTTCTTTTTTTCTCTCCTAAACCTTGTTCAGCCATCCATTTGCTTAAACTTACCAGGTAGATTATACATTGTTTTCTTCTGTCTCTCTTGCCTTCAATCTGCCTTGTGAGTATCAAAATTTCCAAGCCCCTTTTTCATCATTATGTGGCCTAGAAATTTCAACTGTCTTCTTGATGTTAAATATGTGTCCTTTTTGTTTCCATTTTCTCTAAAACTTTGCTCACATGTTCAGTCTATTGTATTCTCAGCATCCTTCTGTAGAACCACATTTCTGTTGTTTCAGATCTCTGACTTTATATAATGCTCATGATAACTAATGATCGGTTTCTATTTAAGAGCATTTGGAATGTGTAGCTCTCAATATTTATATGATAAAGAGAAATATATTAAATACTTTTAAAGTCCTTCAATATTCTTATTATTTTATATATAATGCTTGTCACAAAGCTCATCATATTCATAAAACTCGGAAAACAATCTAAATAATCTTGCTAAGACATGTAATACTATTCATTAACTCAATAATAACTACAAATTTACAACTAATCTAAACTTATTATAAAATTTGTTATAATTACTTTCGTAAGAATAACAAATTTAATCCAGACAAAACAAAATATCAACCTAAAAACTGAAGCAAGTATTTATACTACAGCCTGTCTGAAGTTATTATGCAAATCAAATAAACCTCAGTAACTCAAAAAGTTCTGAACCAATATTTGTCAAATTTAAACTCATCCATTTCCATCTGTAGTAAAATATTTAATTAAATTTTCTGACTCTTGCTAACTATTGTGATTTTATGAATAAGACTTTCTTTGCATTGTACAAGTCTCACAGTTTCAAAGTGAAGTGTGTATTTATGCATGACAATACTCCTTCTCATGTATCTAAGCTAACCCAAGAATTCTTTGAGCATAAAAGATTTACAGGAGAGAAAATAATGGAATGGATACCTTCAAGTCCTGATCTGAATCTGATTAAAAATCTATGGTCAATTGTGAGGATGAAATTATATGAAGGTGGCTAACAATATAACAGCAAAGCAGGCATTTGGGAAGCAATTAAAACGACCATGTCAGAAGTTGAACATGGTGAAGTAAAAAAAAAAAAAATTAACGAGATCTATGGATAATAGATTACTGGCTGGGCTGTTACTGAGAAGGGTCACTATATTAAAATGTAAAGAATTCAAAAACTTATCGTATGTGTTTGTTATTTGTTCTATTATAGGTGTTGATCAATTTTTGATGATTTTATTACTTTTTTATTAAAGTAAAATGTGATTATTTGGTTTTGTCTAATATTTTCAGACAGCAGTTTTTTAGAATACATCAAAGGACTTCAATAAAACATATTGATACTACCTAAAATTTTAACTCTGGCTTTGTTTTGACATCTAAATTGATTGTTTAAAATTTGATAATTTTTTTTTTCAAATCAAATTTGAATTATTGAAGTTTTTATGATTTAATTAATAACTTCAGACTGGGTGTAAATACTTTTAGTACATATACTTTTAGTACATATACTTTTAGTACATATACTTTTAGTACAGGTTCAAAATTATAACCTACTTCAAACTAAAAGACTCAATTGATTCAACAATTTGGATCTGAAAAATTCAAATAGTTTAAATGTTTCGTGAAATCAGAGAGAAAATAAACATATGCAATTGTAGTTACTGCATGGAGACAAATCTATGCAAGATGTGAGAAGTACCCACGATTTTTTGCAATTCAGATATTTATGTATAAGCTTACTTCATGTATAGTATAATTGAATTTTTTTGTGAAAAACTTGACTTTTTCATATAGCCCATGTACAATGCAACACCCAGCTTCTGAGCAATACTAGTAGGCCTACTGTAGACAAATATTGCAGTACTTGGGCATCATCCTGAACATATTTTATAGAAAACAAATGGTAATCATTCTTTGTTGTGCAAAAATACCTCAAAATGGCAAGAAAAACCACTTAATGTAAAATATCCAATACAAAGATTTATTGAAGTTTATATGATTTGCTTAATAACTTCATACAGCATGTATAGCTTGCAATAATAGATATCACAAGAGATACATAGGTGGAAATTCTAAGAATTTAAATAAAAGAATATATGAAAACAAAATTCAAACTCTTGACAATCAGAGATTGGTAGCTGACTTCTCTTCCAATCTAACACTAATCTCCCAGTGAGGAAAAAAATGGCTGGTTACATTCTATGCCTTGAAAACCAAACTCATTACATTCTATCACCACCAATCAGATCCAGAACTATCACCAGTCATGATGAACAGATGTCCCCTTGAGCAAGCTCTGTGCCTTGAGAGAATATTGAAGGAGGAGTAGTAGTAACATGCAACATCAGTTTACAACACCACAGATTCCCTTACTCCTTTACCCATCTTCCTCACTGAGCTATGTGACACATGCACTCTTCTTCACCAAGCTACGTGACACTTACACTTTCTGCCTCACACCTGACTGATGCAGATAAAATGATCGGCTCCCTGTACTGCTCCAGTAAGTGCCTGACTCATCATGCTATCCTCTACCTTTATAAGAGCCAGATCAGGCCGAAAATGAAGTACTGTTACCATTTGCTGCCAGACTTCACTATCCACTTTTGATAGTTTCAAAAGCGTTTCTGAGTCCTTGTGGGAGAAGAATAATTGTCCACCCTCCAACTTTTCTCTCACAGGTGGGATGTGACAAATCTCTCACTGTTCTATTGCTACTACCATGGAAATTACTTGGACGAACTACATTCCTTGGTTCTGCCAGGCCCTAATCTTCTATGCCAGTTATATAGTAGCAAACCACACACATTTCCTCTGTATTCCATCAGCAAGAAGTAAGTTCCACTCAAACAGATTCTTCCCGTGAACTACTGCCCTGTGGAACAGACTCCCAAGAGGATGTTTCCTCAATCACTACAATCTTAACTTGTTCAAGTCTAGAGTTAACCATTGTATTCCTCTTTTATCCATATAAACTACCCCTTAATGTAACCCTCCTTGGTCTTGTACAGAGTGAATCTTACTGTAAAAAAACAAAAAACAAAAAGTAAAGAATCTTTTACGAGCCAACACACACTGATCAGTTATTATTATGCCATAGTAGTACAAAATGTATATAATAGTCCCTTGCTTTCACCTTCTTCCTTTTTTTTTTTTTTTTTTTTTTTTTTTGCTATTGTGATCATCCCAAGCAAGGCAATAAAGCCACTAAAACACAAGATGTGGGAGAATTAGAAAACAGAAACTTTACTGTGTAATAGAAATAGAAGCAGGTGAGTGTTATGACATGGGTGCCCCAATCTCCTAACCTCAACTACATAGAAAACTTATGGAGCATGTTGCTCAACTGTTTTCTTGAGAGCCTGTACTTTATAATGCTCCATAAGTTTTCTATGAGGTTGAGGTCAGGAGATTGGGGTGGCCATGTCATAACAATCACCTGCTTCTATTTCTATTACACAGTAAAGTTTCTGTTTTCTAATTCTCATCAAAAAATCATCAAAGTATTCCTTCATCATTTTTTATTTGTGACAGCGAACATTATCCTGCATAAAAATGAGCTTGGTGGGGTCGATTTGCACCCTTTCAGCAGAAGGGAGCAGACAAGACTCTAAAATTCTCTTGTACTGCTTGCTCCTGTGGGTCTTTTCAATGGGTTTTAAGAAACCAGTTCCATGAAAAGAAAAGCATCCCCAGAACATTATACTGAACAGATGCTTGACAGTACTTACTGTTAACTTCAAAGAGCTTTCAAAGCTTCTTCGGATTTTAGATCGCTTATCCTTTGAATTTAGCTCAACTTTCGTTTCATCGGAGAAGAGAACATTTAGTAAAAAAAATCAGGTAAGTCACTTTTTATCGAAAAGCAATGTATATTTGTAATGTTCATAGCGTCTTCCCAAAAATGGGAAACGCTTTCTTTTGTGAAAGCTCACATAGTAGTGGTGTTTGCTGAAATGAAGAAAGAGGAGAGAAAGGCAAGAAGTTTCCCAGTATTTAAAGTATAGGGAAAGAGACCCCTGGTGAAAAATTTGGGAATTAAGGAGGAGCTAAACTCCGACAATACCTTAAAGATATCATGTACTATAAAAAAAATTGAAAAATGTTGAATATAATTATCACCAATAACTCAGGACCTCAAAAATCCACTGTAACAGGAAAGAGCTATGGAAGTAAGGTTTATTCTCCCATTTGTGTTTCCTCTATTATGGGCTATTATTATATCAGTGATATAATAACACTGTACTTCATGGATGGAACAGCAGAAAGGAAAAACAATGACAAATATGCTTTGTTCTCAGAGAGAGAGTTTTATAATGCTATGTTGTACACAAAATTATATATGTAGGAGGTGATATGTGTGTTTTATGTTGTAGTTTTGTTGAAGTCATAACAGGAGAGAGCTATGAAAGAAAGGTTTATTCTCCCATTCGTATTTCCCCCATTATGGACATATCCATGATATAATAACACTAATATTTCAAAGACAGAATAGAATAGATTTGTTCTCAGAGAGACTTTTATATCACTAAGACCTACACAAAACTATATATATATATATATATATACACATATATACATATGTCCCACACAGAGAATATTATATCACATATATCTACACAGCAAAGCAGAGTGGAAGGAGAAACAAAAAGGATGGGTCTTACATATAAGATACAATTGGATTTATCTATGTTGTGGGCAAGGACGTATTCCATGAATGGGAAACACAGAGTCTTGGGTTTTCCCAAATTGAGGACTACAAACTGTAGTTTCTTATATCTGAGAAAGATATATTACCAAAGGGAACTGGTACCACAAACTTATCTGTGGGGGCTGAGCTCCTTTTTTCATCAGTTAATAAAAAAAGTAAATAAGAAAAATTTCAAGTTTTATAATTATTTATTGGGTATGAATTGAGACCCCATTGGGTTAAAGCATAAGTTTAATGTTCAGGTGTATGTAACAAAAACGCATGTGTAAATTTTGTTCATGGCTTGCAGCTCTCAAACAAAGAAATTTTTGTCTAATAAATATAAAAGTGGACAATGAGGTCAACAGCTAGCGGTGACTGTTTCATGCTTAAATGCAACCTTCAAGCCTGAAGATTGTATAAGCCACTGGTTGACCTCAATGTCCACTTTTAGATTTTAAAATGCTCTATCACTGACATTGACCATTTTAACCCCAAAATATAGCATACCTTAAAAAAAAATATATATATATATATACACACACACACTTCTTGAAAAATATAGCATATTCAAAAATATTTAATGTTTTTATTTTTAATCATTTTACCCCAAGCAAGGCAATAAAGCCACTAAGACATGAGGGTGCCAGAGTGTGAGAGAATGAGAAAAAAAAATTAGAGAGAACAATAAAAGAATAGGAATTACAAAGGCATGAGATAACAATTATAATTGTATTTTAATTTTTGACTGGATGGCAAGAAATCAGAAGAATTCCACCAAGTGAGAAGTGCAACTGTTAGCAAAGAATTTATGATTACATCTAGCAGCTATTCCAACTGTAAAATAATGATATCTTGCTGCCAATCTAGTACTGCACTTAAATTTATAAAGTCTAAGTACCAAAGAGGAAAGCCAATCAGAACAATTACCATGAAAATATTTATAGAAAAGGCACAGATAAGCTACATTACAGCAGTGGAAAAAGTGACTGAGGCCAAAATGCTGGGTCAGGACCAATAACATTACAGATTCTTCATTGTATTTTGCCAAGAATCTTTAAGTAGATAGTTGAAGCACCAGACCAGATGTGGTAGTAATATTCAATGTATGCTTTTATTAAAATTTTTTAATTTCTTTTTTCAGTTGTGTAATTTTATCACTGGCAACAAGACCAAGTCAGATTTAGTAAGTACTCACATTTTATTTATTTGGTCAGATCAAATGTTGCAAGCCTCTCATTACTCTATCATTATTTCCATGGAAAATGTTCAGATGAATTACTTTCTTAGTAACACCTTTTCTAACCTTCACAGCTAAGACTCACCATGAAACTAAACAAAGAAATTTCTGCATTTTATTTATATATATATATATATATATATATATATATATATATATATGATCATTATCTAATGATCAAGTGAATGAAATGGATGAAGTAAAATAAGCATTATTATTCCAAAATAATTTTAAAAAAAAATTTTTTCATGTGATTATAGACTAATCACTCCAGAACATGAATATGAACAAAAAAAGATTTCTTTTTATTATTAAATTTTATAAATGTTAAGAAAGGGTTCAGTTTTCTATATAAATTCATTGTAAATTGATCCCGCTATGGAAGCCGAAATAAAATATACTCATATGATATAGTTTATTAAAATTTAATAGTCCTGGTTAAGACAATAAAATAAAGCAAGGCCTCTGATTGGGAAGTTTTGAGGAGTACGGAAGTATTTCTTAATTGCTATTGTTCCCAGGTTCACCCTGACCTGGGGTGGTAGCACCTGTTAGGGTCCCAGCTCTGAGCAAATAGTAAACCTCCAAACTGGGGTCAAAACACTATGAAAGTATAAAAATACAGTTTTATAGTAAAAATAACAGCAATACATTTATATATATATATATATATATATATAAATATATATATATATAAAATTATCATTTTAAAGTAGAATTACTAAAATACATTTTATTTGTAGGTGAAGTCATAAAACTGTTTGAAATATTTAGATTTCAGCATTAAATAACCCATAGAGGTTTATATATATATATATATATATATATATATATATATATATATATATATATATATATATAATGTTATATTTAAAACCTTTCTAACCTTTTTTTCTTTGTGAATTGATTCAAATCTGCAATGTATTCATGATCTTGAGTGCTTAATCTATACCAATATGAATAGAAAATTTTGAAAAAAAAAAATTGTGGTCAGTGCCTACTCTAAAATTTCATCATGAAATACAGGGTGTCTATAAAGTTCATGTGCACTTCAAAAAATTTATAACTTTATTTCTATTGCAAATACAAATAATCTGTAAAAGATGTTATAAAGTTTAATGTACCGAGTTTTAAGTATAGCTAAAATAACTAATGTGATTTCAGGCATTACTGTAAATCAGTTGGCAAATGTTTTCCATGAACTGTAAAATCGTATTACCCTTTGTATTGCTAATGATGGAGGCCATGTGGAAACTTATATAAAATTTCAACAAAACCTTAAAAAATATAGATTTACTTCTTTTTAATCCTTTTTACAAATTATTTCTATCACAAATAAAGTTTAAGATTTTGTAAAGTGCACACGAACTTTATGGACACCTGTATATTTGTATAATAAATTCAACCATATTACACCTTACACAAAGAATTACCATTTCCAAATGTCTAGTATTTTCTGTGTCATTCTATATGTAACCATTGGACTGAACGTAGGTTTTGACAAATTTCGTAATTGTAACTTATTTCTATACTAAATAATTTGAAATTTATTTTTATAGTAAAGTCATTTCCAAGGTATTTATCTATATGATTTCTGTATTTTCAGGGTCACTCTATATGTAAGCATTACAGCAAATTAAAATTTTGTTATATTTAATAATTGTAATATACTTTTGTAGCAATGATGTGGTAATTTGCAATGCATTTTTATAGTAAAATTATTTCCAAATAAATTCCTATATATGCTTTTAGCATTTGTGTCTATGCCAAAGCTATTTAGGGTTGGCTTACACAATGTGGGGACCCTGCACATGAAAACCACAAAGATGATTGGCTATTCATGTTAAGTGCAGCAAGAAGGGGCCTATCAAACTGGTCTTTGAGGTGATGATGGAAAGCAGCAAAGGAAGATGATGACTTGGGAGGGTGTGTTTTAAGAAGGACAGGGGAAAATTGGTCCTAGAACTAGCTGATGCTAATGACAGACATATGTGGAGAGGTAAACTGATATTCTCTATCAGGCAGCACCCCCACCTTGCTTTGTGAGAGATTCTTGGCTCAACAAAAAAAAAACAAAAAAAATACAGCTATGATGCTGATGAGGACAACTATAAATAATTTCAGAACAGTTTTGTTGTACTAATTTCACTCACAAGGTTTGGGTCAACAGGTGGTATAGTTTTCAGGGTCAACCTAGGGTTGCCAGATTAAAGTTTTGATTTAAAGCCAAATAATACAGAAAAAAAAAACACATTAAAATTTTATATAAAGCCACTAAAAAGCCAAATAAACATGAGATTTTATTAACTTATTAATATATTGTGGGATTTTAGGTGTTTTATAATGAAACCACTTTATTATTTCTAGCAATTTTAAGCATTTGTACAGTGAATTTTTTAGCTGTAAATTCTGAAATTTAATTTAGATATCAATAGTCAAAGAAATCTGATTTACTGGAAAATCTTGTCGTTTAGTGTTGTTTTTTTTTTTTTTTTTTTTTGAGAATTTTAATAATACTTTATGATTAAAAACGTTTTTAGATAAATTTCATGAAATTTAAATATTTACTTGAAAAGTTTTTTTTAACCTAAATTATTAAATCTAATAAAAGAATAATAACCATTTCATTAATTTTTTAACATGTGTATCTGTAAGATTTTTTTTTTTTCATTTAAAGAACTTAATATTAAGTTATAAAAGAAACATTGGAGAATAGAAATATCAACACTATGAAAGAACAAGAAAAATGGTCATTTATTAATATGATAGAGAATTATGAAAGAAAATTTTTCCTTTTGATAGGCTGCTGAAATTGGCATAGATTTGCAAAAGAATCATTATTTTTTTGTTATTGTTTTATTTTTTTATTTAATTTAATTTTTTTTTTTTTTTTTTAACAATAAATTTCTGGGAGCTCTTCCCCTTCTGGATTTAAGGATATGATGATAAAAAGGGATGAAATCCTCCTATCATTCAGGCACATCACTGAGGATAAAAAAAAAGATTTTATCATAGCAGCTATAATCTACTGTTTATCATGTAAAAATAAATAAATTTTTAAAAATCCAAGAAAAAGCGAGATACACCAAATCAATTCTCTAGTGCCAAACCAAAATGGAAAAAAATGTCAGATTTCAGAAATTTGGTATCAAAAAAGTCAATCTGGCAACCCTGGGTAAACCTGTGGTATAGTTTTATATTGGGATTGCTTCAAGCTGATATTATCAAAAAGTAACATCCTTAACATAATCAACCATGGTGATAGTCAAACCTGGGGTGGGTAGAAAGCTAGTACTCTAATCATTCTGCCATGTTGCCACTGTAAATAGTTAACAAGATTTAACTGTATTAAAATTGTATGAAAGATGTCCTGAGAAATATATTTCTTCTGTGTCATAGTTTTTATTTATTTCTAAAATATTTCTTCAGAACATAGACATTCCTTTAACTGCAGTGCAGAATGCCATTGACCTTGAAGAAAAAGTCTTTGATGAACTGGAAAAAATAGCTGATGGTTCTGATGCACAGGTTTGTTAAATACATCATTTTATCTTTCATACTTCTTGGGACAATTGTTATCTCTCTCAGTCTGTTCATATTTGTCTATCTATCCATCGCAGTCTGTTCTCATCTATCACAGCTTGTTCTCATCTATCTATCTACCTATCACAGTCTGTTCCCATCTATCTATCTATCTAAGTCCATTCTCATCTATCTCAATCTGTTCATATCTGTGTGTCTGGAGTTTGTATATATGTTTCTGCATTCATCTCGCTATGCTGATCATTCCCCTTGTACAGAATGAAACAAACCTAAATTTTATTAACTACAGCCAAAAAACAAAAATTAAGACACAAAAAACAGTCACACAGGCTGTTGAAACATCATATTTCTGAAATGCATGTGTGAAACATTATGAGAAAAAGAAAAACATTATTATGGAGCTAGGATAATAAAAGAACAGAAATTAAGAAAACAAAAAATAACAATTGACTTTACATTTAAATTTTTGGAAATCAAATTTGACTGGGAAGCAAGAAAACTAGAGAGTTCAACAAGTGAGAAGTACAAGAGAAGAAACTTAATTTGTCTAAATTTCTGTGATGAAGAATGATCATTATGCTATTTAAAGTGGACAGTTGTCCTCATTTGTCAAGAAGAGGACAATAGTCCACATTAAAACCTGTCAGCTGGATGTGACTATGAAAAAAGTACTGTCAGTGTGGCATAAAGAAAAGAAAACTAGATATCAAAAAACAAGATATGTTAGAATAAAATTCTCTGTATTGCGAGTATAATGGATCAAGGTGGAAAGTCTCTTAGTGGGCAAGGGAGGTAACCTGGAAGGTTGAAGCCTGTGTCAGGATGGTTGACTGAAAGGCCACTGGTAAACTCTATGACTACTGCTTTGAGTATTGAAAGCAGGTCCTTATAAGTAGTCAGGGTAGATGCATGACCCAGTTTTTTGTTTTTGTCATGCTTTTGCGATAACATTGGCTCTGACATTTAAATTCCATCTTATATGATGGGAGGGATTTTTGTGAGTCAGATGTGATGCTTAGAGCCCCTGTTTAGAGAGGAACTGGGTTATTTTTAATTTTGCTTTCTTAGGGTTTACGTCCAGGCATTAATGTGGAGTGAATCAGAGAGAGAAACATATTGGGTTGTGCTTATGGTTTCAATCAGCCATGATCCAGCCCTGGAGCAGCAGAAGTATGACCTCCATGAACTCTGTTGAAGTGAGCCCTTTCAAGAGTGGATATATGACGCAGTGATTTTTTTTTTTTTTTTTTTTTCCTGCTTTTGATTTAGAGGCAATGTTTGTTAAATGGCTTTGATGTTTAAGTTTTACTTTATATTTTGAGGAAATTTGTTTTGTGAGCCCCATTTAATGTTTTGGAGCCTCTGCTCAGTTTTAATTTTGCTTTCATAACATTCACATCTAGCTAGCAGATTTTGGATGTGGAGTGAATCAGAGAGAGATTGAATTTGGAGTAGAGCATATTAAATGTCTCAAAATTACAGAATTTCACTTTCTTTTAGTTTTATGTTTTGTTTTTCATCTTCTGTCCTTTCAGTTAAGCCATTTCATCGAACATGAATATTTGGATGAACAAATTGAATCCATAAAAGAACTTAAAGATTATGAGACACAACTGACTAAGATTAATGGAAGTTACATTGGTGTGCTTCTGTTGGACCGATGGCTTATGGAAGGCAAGCAAAACAAATTATAGATGTCAGATTTTTTTTCTTTTTCTACTCACTAAAACTGTAGTCCATATAAGATCAAATATCAAACAAGTCACTAACAAACTAAAAACGAGACAAAAGCCCCCCCTACCAAAAAAAAAAAAAAAAAAAAAAAAAAACGTAGCCAAGTTATTAAAAATAGCTTGGCTTTCCCCCCACTACTTTTGCTTTGGTAGCAGCCATTTTATTTACATCCTGGTACTTTATTGTTATTCTTTATTTGTAAAAACTCCACAACTGTTTTTGACCAAATTGTTTCGGGTCGTTTTTTTGTTTCGTTTTTTTTTTAAATTCTCTGCGACCATTATATAAGCAGTGTGGATTGAAAATAAAATAAAATAAGTCGCCTCTGAGGAGATTCGAACACTAACAAAACCAGAATAAAAAAGAAAAACAGTACCTCAAGAGATGTACGCAAATGTTAACTTGAGGTTTATTCATTTTAACAACTTTGTAATCACTTTTCATTAAAGGCCAAACAGCAACAACTCCCGCTTTACGTTTTTAAATGAATGAGCAGCATTTTCCACCTCTTGCTTCAGTCATGCTGGAGTTATGTCCCTTTTGCCGTATCGACCCTCTTGTCAAACTTCCTCATCATTACTGCATTAAGAGGCATTTCTTAAATTTATTACCACTTTTAATGCATTTTATTTTAATTTGTGATCTTTCTCCGAAATAGTATTGGTTTATCCCTAAGGTCCTTACATTTATTATTTTTATTAAATATAATATTGCTAATAGAGTACATGTCCTATTATAGCGGAAAGTGGATGGATATTACAAACTTATTTTTAAAAATAAAATCCTTTCACTTTTCATGTTTTTTAAGCATTTATTTGCTGATTCCCCACTCTGATTAAAATTCTTTAATGATTATTATTATTATTATTATTATTAATTGCTGGTAATTTTATACTTTGATCGTGTCATTTAACTGATTTAAAACTTAACTAATTTCACTGATAATTAATTGAATTATGATTGATTCCACTATCATGTCAAATGAGCGGTTAAGTCAGGTTAACAAAAAAAAAAAAAAAAAATTGGACTGCAGTTCTATACAGTGATCGGCCAATCAAATGACTTCTTTTCACAGTTGTTTTAAGCTATGGGAAAAGAGGTGGGGAAATGCAAGTCATCTGGTTTGAGGAATGACAGTGTTCAGCTTGATATCAAATTTATGAATGTCATTTGAGAAGAGACATTAATTTTAAAGATTTCATGACATCAGTAATAATTACTAATAGCTATTAACAAAAAAATAGTGTATACATTTCTGGGTAATACACTGTACTTTAGAAAGCATGAAAAATAGTTTTAAAAAACCAGAGATAATGTGCACGAGTTGAATCTTTTGAAAGTACACAGGACAATTACGAAAATCTTAAAACTTATAGTGATCCTCAATCTCGCCAACCAAAAACAGAATTTAATTTTTTAGCGTACCTTATGTGCTGTGAACTTATAAAAATGGAAAGATTGTAAAAATAGACATTTCTTAAAAATGAAATAAGTAACAATGATTAACTTTTTCCTAATCAACTGAAACCCACAAAGATGCCAGTTAAAGAGTTCAAAACTAGTTAACGACAATATAAATTGATTCCTTATTGATGGTGAGCTGATTTGTTTAATGAAACAAGACTTAATTCAATTCAGTCCACAGAATTTCCAATCTTCGTTGTTTAGGAAAGCTTTATTGCCATTATTCAGAGCAGTGGTCAAGAAGCTGAAAAAAAAACATTCATTCACTAACAAGAAAGGTAATCCTACACTTTAGTATCGGGCTCAACTTATAAAGTGTAAATCGGAGTTATTTCCCTTTAGCATACTTTTTTATTTATTTTACAAAGAATTACTTGAATTAATAATTTGATTTTTTTTTTCTTCATTTGTCACAATACAAAGTTTTATCGCGCAGAAAATTAAGCAGATAAAATTAATCTTGTTTCAAAATATTAACTACAAGATAAAGAAAAATACTTAAGCCTCCAACCTGAAGTTCATCTTCGTTGTTATTACAACGGCCGTTGGGTCCTCAGGCCTTTGTCAATCTGGATAACTTTCCAAGGAATTTCGAACTGAACCAATTTTAGAGTGTTCACATCGTGTTGTAGACTGCTCTAGTTTCGCTGTCCATTCCTACAGATGTCCTGTCTTTTGGAAACAAGGCGAGCAATAATCGAACATTACTAAAAACTAAGAACAAGACGAGATATACTTCCTCAGGCATGGACAGCGAAAAGCGAACAATCCACCCTCGTAGAGATTAAATAAAAAAGGGTTTAAAGAAATTCTCTGAATGCTATCCAGATTGACAGATACAATGATCAACAAAACGTTGTGATAATAACAACAAAGATAAGGACATTCAACCGAATTTCGATATAAAATAAATAATAAAAGAAAAGTAAAAGTTTTACTGTGTAAAGTGTAAAAATCCATCTACACTCCATCCCGGAAATTCAGACAATCATTCCATTCCTTCGCTATATACAATTTTGAACAATAGCCGTCGTAATTGGCGATTAAAAAAAATCTAATAAATTATTAGTGAAAGATTAAAAAATAAATAAATAAAAAGAAATGTATGTTTTTTAAAAAAAATACCTTAATTCAAATTTTCTTTTTCACAAAGCAATTTTTACGCTAAAGTGAAGTAACTCCGAATTACACGTGCTTGACAGGAAAACTACCATGACTGATTTATATTTAAAATTAGAATCTTGTCAATAGGGAAATAAATAAATAAAATAAGGAAATATATGTAGATCTTTTTTCTCACACAACTGCACAATCTCAAATTAGATAGCGTCATATAAGATCTTTAAGAAAGAACAAACAAATTTAATAATCTAAAAACGGTGGTCCGAAAGCCTTGTCAACCTAACCCTCTCTTCCAAACCAGGTGCTATAGTGTCAGCCATCTGAAATAGAAAATTATATTGTGTAGGGGGTGACAATACTTTCGGACCACCATACATATTAACGTCGAAAATTAACAAATATCTTTTTAGGGATATTAAAGAAACTTTTTTTTTTTTTTTTTTTTTAAAGGAATTATGTGGTACCTGTAAATTTAAAAATATATTCAGTTTTTACTATCTAACCCCATGACGAGCGGATGTCAGTTCTGTGAAACTGGGAGTCTCTAAAAAAAATAACTTATTTGTTTATCTTTTTCTATCTTTCTCTATTCCAATTTTAGCTGCACATAAAGTATGGAGTTTCTCCTATAAATTTTCTCTTATGAGGTGGTATAACTTTGGGGAAATTTACTGTTTATTTAATCTCAAATAAAATACACCATAATCTTTCACTTTTGAAAAGTTTAAATGCTACATTTAATGGATGAATCTGGTTAAACCTGCTTATTTTGATATAATAAACAATATTAAACAAACTTGTTTTCTTTTTTTGTTTATATCTTTTTAAGAAAAGTCAATTGGCTGTTTTCATTGATTTCTTTCAGACAAAATCGCTATAAAAATAAGGACACTACCTTCCTGAAAAATTATTTTAAGAGAAAGATTTTAAATTTCAACCATAGGGATTTCTTATTTGGTTAAAAAAAAAAAAAAAAACTACGAAAAATAAAACGGTTTAAACAAATGTTTTAGTCTAGATAACATTCAATTTTTATAAGAGCACACAACGCGATCCGAGTTTTAAAATAGACGATAAATTTACTAACACAAAAACTGAATTAATTAAATTACACAACAATTAAGTTCATTGTGTGCCAAATGATGGCCAGTAACATGTATTGTAAATCATGAAAATGAAATGGGTAATTTGCAGTGAAAGCCCCGCGCTTAATCTTAATGAAAATTTCCATCTAGGAATACATAATCATGCTCTTTTTAAATTTACATGCTTAATTCGAAAATAACATTAAAAAACGTTTGCGGAAATTTACCGTTTTGGAGTTAACGGCAATAATAGTTCGGACTCATTCGCGTCGGGTCCGTCCGCCATTACTGTCTAGGAGTAATCATGTGTGGAAGCTTACTTAGTTAACGACCTTTTTACTGATCTTGCTCATCTCAATTACTGCGCAAAACAAAAAGAATTCTTTAGACACTTTTTGAAAGTGAAGATTGTATTGATTTTTTTTTTTTTTTTTTTTTTTTTTTTTGGTAACTTAGTTTAAGTTACTTAGAAAAGCAATGAAAAGTGTTGTTTTTTTTTTTTATAGTGAAGCTTTTTTTTTTTAATAAAAATAAAATTGTGAATACCATCGTAAAAGGTAGCATTTCTGCAATACATTTTTTTTTAACTTAAGTAATCATCCTTTTTAAAACTCCAAATTTAAAAAAAAATTGAACCTTACATTTTATCTTATTATTTCCTTTCTAGCATTTTTATTATTTTGTTACATAATCATGCTCTTTTGAAATTTCACGTAAAATTTGCTCATTGCGGGCGCAATAACCAAGACAAGTAAAGCTCGAGGCAAACGTATATAAACAACGCATAATGGCTACTGTGCTGTAGCCGTGACGCGAATGAGTCCGAAGTTTTATTGTCGATAATTCCAAAATGGTAGATTTCCGCAAACGTTTATTGTTATTTTCGAATTAAATTTACATAATAAAAGAATTTTCGAAATTTAAAAATTAAACAAGAGCCCAAACGCAACGTCTGCTTTCTCTCTGAAAGGTAGATGATACACGCACTAGTGGAGTAACGTTTATCTTCATTTTAGAGAGTGAGAACTTGCCCGATCCCGGAGATTCCAAACCTACGGCAGCACCTCCCCCATTGCAGTAAGAGATGTGCGGTTGGTATAATCGATGCCAGCTTGACACTGGTTGCGAGGGTTTTCTGTAACTGGGGTTCCTATTTTACACCCCCCTCCCTCAAAAAAAAAAAAAAATAGATAATTTAAATTCTCCAGGAACACCTGCTTATAATTAATATAAACATTTAAGCCCTACAAAAATGAATTTCTTGAAATTTTCTAAAATTAAATAAGTGA